GCCCTGGCTGCTGTGGACGGGCTAACGTTAGCCCTGGCTGCTGCAGATGGGCTAACGTTAGCCCTGGCTGCTGTGGGCGGGCTAACATTAGCCCTGGCTGCTGCAGATGGGCTAATGTTAGCCGTGGCCATGGTTAACCTCAGAGGTCCGCAGCGGCCCTTTCTAAATCTGAACTTTTTTTTTAACTATGAATTAAATCAATTAATGGGCCATAGAGTGATTCTTAAAAGTAAAAATTTCTTCCCTTAAATGATCTTAAAACATACTTTTATAGAACAACTTAATACTCTGAGCTCTGTGAGTGCTAATCTGGAAGCTGCTGCTGCCGCAGTGCATGCTGGGACAGCTGTCAATCCCGTGAATGGTCAATTCTGCGCTGATGCATGCTGGGTAAAGAGGGAGGGGCGAGAACTACATCCGGGGACGGGGATGATGTTTCACAAGCACATGAGAACACACAAGTACACAGATTGAGAAATGACCAATATCTGCTCTGAGTTTCTCACATCTGTGGAACGTCCATAAATCTCTAAAATCTCTAAAAAAAAGTGGCGTCTAGATTCAGTCCTAAGGGCCGCCAGCTGCCATATTGAAATTGCATTTCAAGAGAGAAAAACCACAACAACAGATTAAAAATTTAAGCTGAGCCAAAAGGAACAAGGAACTAACAGCTTCCTGGAAATGGATTGGAGTGAAAGTTAGAAGTACCACCCCAAAAAATGACTCAAGTAAAGTAAAGACGCTCAGATAGGTACCTAAGTACAGTAATCAGGTAAATGTACTCTGCTACTTTCCAACACTGGGTATCTGTGTCATGTTTTCCAATTTTTTGGACTCTCCATAAATAAGTTTTAACTTGCAGCTGCTTCTTTTATTTCTTATAAAAACACTACTAGGTTGGAGGTTAATGTTGTTGCAATAGTAGAAAGTGTTTTTATTTTTCTGTTAGATCAGCTGCAAGAAGCAGATCTGTAAACACATTTTTCTCACCAACAATTGGTTCTGTTTTCTCTCTCTCTCTGATCAGACCCTGTTGGCCCAGGGATCAATAGAATCCCTCGATTCTGTGGGACCCACAAGCAGCAGCCGGGAATCAGCTCCACTACTCCACCATATTTCTGTCATTGCGTGCGTCTCCTCCCTGCCAGCACTTCTATATTTCCTGTTTTAAACCTGAACTCACACACATACATGCATACCCACAAACACATGCTTACAATCCATGATGTCAAGCAACAGATGTCCAAGCCTCCGCCGTGACCTTTCTGAAGAGACAATCTGGAGAACTATCAGATGAACCATCTTTCAGCACAGCACAGTCACACACAAGCATGGGAGAATGGAAGCAGCTGGACTTTGTGTGTGATTAAGAAAGGGAATAATAACAGAACTGAGAGGCTCCGGGGGACTCTGTATTACAGCAACTCCATTTTCAGTGCTCTGTCTCTTCAGGGTGTGTTTTTGTTTTTCAAACTCAAACTAATTTACTCAGGCTGAGGATCTGAGACAGCTGGGCTGATACACACTGGAAACAAGTGCACACACTCAAATACACACTCAGTTTGATCTGCAGTGCTAAATTTGGCATATTGAGAGAGGGTGGAAAGATAAAGGAAGGACAGCATAGACAGACCCTTCAATAAGTTTTGTCGTGTCAAAACATACAAACAACACACACTTGCACCCACAGACTACTTTACCCTTCCCTTTAGACCAGGGGTCTGCAACCTATGGCTCCGGGGCCGCAAATGGCTCTTAAGAGGCTCTGCAAAGGCTCTTCATCTCTTTGGCTAATTTTTTTGAATAGATTTACTAAAAGTATGCATGGTTTAGCATTTTCTCTACTGTCAAATTGCATAAAATTTCAATATTTCCAAAAATATCAGCAATCTTTGTGTTAAAAAA